TGACCAGACAGAATCCTGTGTTTGAATGGAATTTATACATCATGTATGAGGTGTATGAATATGCAACAGGCTGTTGTTTTTAAGGGTTAATCCTTTGTTAACGTGTATCCTTTTCCAGGCTTGTGATGCCCAGAAAAAGGTACCTGGACTGTCCGTAACTCTTTGGTTTTATTGTCTCATATTGTCCTAATTCAATTTGTCCAAATTTGTCTAATTGTGTTACTATTTTTTTAATCATTTTATTACTATTAAACTTTTAAAATTTTAAAAACACGTGATTGGCGTTTTTCACATTCTGTGACATGAGTTCAAGTGAGCAGTGACACCACCTCCCCCACGCCAGTGTGCGAGCCAGTTTGCAGATCAGAAGAGGCTGTGTGTGTGGAGGAAGAGCAAATGACAGAAGGGGCATGGTACCCACATCTCCAAAGTCTCTCTCTCGGATCTGGATGAGGCCCCTTCCAGCCCAAACCATTCCAGAGTTCTATGTAGCTCCATTGGTGTCTCTTCCCTCCCTGAGGAGAGTCTGAGTGAGGCACCCACACTCACACAGTCAGTCCTTGCACTTCAGAACTTCCCACACCGAAGGCAGCTCTCAAGCATCACCTGGAACACCACCCTAGGGTGAAGCTTTGTGTACTTCCCAACCACACAGAGCTGAAAGGAACCAGGTCTTTCCCTGTGCCAGAGGTGACCTATGCCTGCAGGCCCTGCCCCTCACAACAGGCAGTGAAGGGCAGTGTTGGGGCAGTGAATCTTCCAATGCCCACCTTACAACAGCACGTGGGAAGAGGTCACCAGGGAGTGGGTGACCAACTCCTCATCTGCCATCACTGACTTCAAGCATCCCCCACAAAGAAAGCCATCCTCATCCCACAGACAGCAGAGCTGTATTTAGCTGCCCATGGCAGCTCTGCAGCCTGAACACAGACTTCCAGAGAGACACCAATGTATTTTGAGCTGTGAGAAATATTAAAAGGCCCTCTGCTCCTATTTACTAATAGGACAGTTTACCAACTCAGAAGTTCCAGCACTTTGGGAAATCTACATTACATGGCCTGAAAACAAAGGCACTCTGGGATAAAAGTCTTACCCAAAAGTAGGTAAGATTATTTTTTTTTTCAGCACAGTGAAGAAATTTGCCTGATTCCTTCCAAACAGGGACTTTATTTGTGCCAGACAGAACATCCAGAAATAAATTGTGCAGTTCCCCAAACTCACTCAAGGCTTTAACCATTTAGTTCAGTTACCAAAGTCAATTCATTTGCACACAAGAGGATTCAGGAAGTAATGGGAGAGGTCTCTTCTACTTCATCTTAGTGATCTTACAGAATAAAACTGTAGACAGCCTCCAAAGCAGTCTGAAGACCTTTGCATTCAGTAACAATCACCCTTGCCCCAGCACAGTTCAATGGAACAGACTGATAGTCTTCATGTAGAGTTATTTTTTTTTACAACAGATTATCTCATTTCTCTTACACAATTTCAATAGTGTGTGAGTAAATTTAAACAGCTGGACTACTAAAGTAATTAAAAAAAACAAACTCTTAATGATGGTAATTTCAAATATAAGCAACAAAACATGTTCTGAGTTTAAAAGCTGAACAGAGCACCAAGAAGTCGGCACAGTTTGTGTGTAAAAAATTCATTTTCCTCCCCATCACTCTACTTTTGCTTTAGTTTATACCTCTTGGGGTAGTTTTTGGCAAATTGCTTTTCTACTTTTTCCCGTCCCTTCCCAAGTTTGAGTGTGCTGATGAGGTCTAATGTTTGTTTCAATTCCTTTACAGGCTTGTTTACAAAGTCACAGTATTTCCTTTTGGGAACAAATTCCAGAGCCTTCTTCCAGTCAGCTGTATCTTTCAAGGTTAATAAAATATGCATCATTTGATCCAGTGTGAGATTTTTAGCACCAGTACTCCACAGCAAATACTTATCCAGTGGAAGGGCTGCAGTCTCCAGCCCTAACCGCTTTGCCCGTGCTAAGGAGACTCCTCTTTTAATGCTCTTGTCAACCATTGACCCAACAATATAGATCTTATCGTGGTCAAATGCTTTCATTACTTTGGGAGAATCTGCTGTCAGATAGATGAGCTTCTCCTTGGGAAAGATTTCTGTGTAGCACTGGTCTGTCACTGTGATAAGCAGTTTGTCCCAGGCCTCTCTATAATTCTTGACAAATTCCCTGTGGTAGAGGCTATCATCTTTGAAGTTACAGAAGTGGATGTGGAACGGATCCACAGATCTCCGATTGCTGCTCTCACTCATTACTATCTGCCTCACTGCGTTTGAGACTTCTCGCACAGACATGTCCTTTTCATAAGACATGTCAAATACCAGAGGCTGGCCAAAGATCATGGACTGAGCAGCCCTCCAGTTGTATGCTCTGTCCATGGTGCGGGACCATAAACACACAAATGGACTCTTCTTGGTCTCCTCTGTTTTTGAATCTTCATCTTGTGCTTCCAGCCTCCTTTCCCTTTTCTCATCCATCTTTCTTTTGTCATTTTTCTTGTAAAGTTCTTTGAGATGCAAATATTTTAAATACTTCTTTTTGGCTGACTTAGAAGGACACTCCATAAAGGTTTTTAGCTGGTCTTCACTCATATTTTCTGGAACTGCTCTGCCAGCTAGCCTCCACATCTCCAAAGTCTCACGTGCAGCAGCCAAACTGGAAAGCTCCTTTGGCTCTGAGACCATCTCACTGACCTCTTCCTGCAACCCAGATTTCATTACCTTCTTCCACTCATCCAAATCCAGTTTTTCTGAGGGTTCACGTGACTTGTCCTGCTTCAGACAAAGTGATAAACTCAGAGTTCTACTGAATGGAAACAAATCCTTTTTCATCCCATGTTGTGTGGCAAATGGAAGGACAGAACTTCTTACAATTCTTCTCAGAAGCATGTTAGCTGAGTGCATACTTAGGCATGTGCTGTGTTGCAACACTTATCTGCAAACTCCAATAAGAGGGGAAAAAAACTTGTCAGAAATCACAGAACACACACAAAGAACACACATGCAGATTTTTATTCTTATTAACACTGACAGACAATAGGTTACTTCTTGGAGGATGCTAGAAATTCCTCCTTCTACTATGAATTTTTTACTGATTCCTAAATAAAAACAGCTTAAACCAGCTATACTTACTGCAATTCAAAACGCAGTCAAACAACCTTCAAGAACTGTCCAAGATCTCTTCAAGTTATCTGTAGCATATGATGAGCCTTCACAACCAAAGTCAGCGAAATGCTGCACGCAAACCAGAAGAATTTTTATGTAATTTATCTATCCTGTGAAAACAGAAAGAAGAGAGGGAAGAATAACAATTAGTACAAGAAAAAAACATCTATTTTCTTTTTCCTAAATTGTCTGTGAAGTTGGCATAGGCTCATAAAACTGAGGACATAAATCCCCCACTCCCATTAATTTTATCCACACTTATATTTACATATGAAAGGTCTACAGAAAGAAAAACACACCCAAGAACATTTAATAGTTTCCTTGGCCTATGCACACTACTGAACTAAGCATCAGTGGAGTTTCAGTCCTTGAGGAAACGTGATTTGGACAAAACTATAATTAATTCCTAATTTTTAAATCAAAATTCATAATCTTCCTAATAAACTGAAAATAATATATATATATTCTGATATACAGAACAAGAAGTTAGATCTAATATTGGGTTTGTAAACATGTACCTGCTCAGATAAGAGGCACAGAAGGAGCAGTGTATTATTTAGAAAAGTTATATAACCTGGCATGTGTTTTACTACACAGTAATTGGTCAAACTGGTGGCTGACCTCTCATGTTCTGCCATTATTAAGATAAAAGAAACAAGAACAACCAAGCAACCCAACAATGTGAAAATTTGTAAGTGCTACAATGGAAGCACAATTATTACTTTTGCCAGTAGTTAAATCCTTCAATGTAAAATTGAACGATTTAACTATTGGCAAAAGTAACACTCAAAGAAGCGCGGAGAAATCAAGGGATCAGTTCCTCAATTAACTTACATGACTGGAGCTCCATTTAAGTCAATATTGAGCACCAGACTTACACCATCAGAATACTTGATGACAGCTTTTGATAGAGCCAAGCAGTGTGTCATTCAAGCTAACATCATTACTGCAGGAATCCATCTAAGGCTCTTTGAAGAACCTAGATTTGTAGCACTGAAAGTATTTTTCTTTTCTTTTTTATCATGAATTCACTGCAACTCATCTCAATAACAGAAAGGCTCTCCATTGGTATATCAGAGACTGAACAACTTGCCTTACTTCCCCAGCCTAGCTGCCCACTCAGAATCACAGACTGTGTAAGGCTGGGAGGCGCCACAATGGATCTGGTCCAACTCCTCTGCTCAAGCAGGTTATCCCAGAGCACATGGCACAGGGCTGTGTCTACACGGGTTTGGAATCTCTCCAGTAAGGGAGACTCCACAGCCCCTCTGGGCAGCCTGTTCAGGCACAACCGCCTGCAGAGTAAAGAGCTGCTCCTCACGTTCAGGTGAAATTCTGTGCCTCGGATTCTGCCCATTGCTTCTTGTCCCATGGCCTGGCACCACGGACAAGAGCCTGGATCCATACTCTGACACTCACCGATGAGGTCGGCTGCAGGGGAGCAGCCCTGCACATGTTTAACAACTTTTAAACCAGCCCACGAGCACCCGAGCCGCTGAGCACAGGCCCCCACCCCACAGCCCCGCGCTGTGCCCCCCAGCCCTGACGGGGACACCGGCGGGGCCCGCGGCCTCCGGGGCACCGCTCCCCGGAGAAGCACCTGCCGGATCTGCGCTCCCGCCCGCGGGGCTCGGTCGGTCGGGCAGGGCAGGGCAGGGCCGGGCGGACCCCGAGGAGCCCCGAGCTCACCGCCAGCCCGGGCCCCGGCCGCACCGCCACCGCCGCTCACCTCGCGGAGCCGCTGCGCCTGCGCGGGGCGGGCCCGCGGTGCTCCCCTCGGCTGTCCCCGGCGCTCCGCGGCTACACCGCCGCGTTCCGGGCTGTGTGCGCCCCACGGCGGGAGCTGCGGCGGGCGGTGATCCGAACTCTCCCGTATTCCGTTCCCGGGGAGCCCTGGGCACCGAGGGGGCTGCGGGTGGGTGCTGCCGCCGCCCGGGTGCGGGGCAGGGTCTGTCCCTGCCGCCGCGCTGGGCTGGGGCGTGAGGCGGTCGGCTGGGGCCGAGGGGTTTGTCAGCCCGGCCTGCTGATCTGTGATTTCTCTCTTGCTCTCTTCTCTCCCCTGCCTCCTTTTTTTCCTTTTAAAAAATGTAATAGCACAGAGAAGTTTTGCTTCTTTTCGGCCCGCAGGTTGCTGTTGTTTGATGGTGCGTTGTTTTGTTGTTTTTTCCCCTAACTGGAAGGCTGGGACTTTAGTGTGGACCGTGATCTGTCGCGATGAGTTTCCTGCTGCCCAAACTGACCTGTAAGAGGGAAGTGGATCAGGCAATTAAAAGCGTCGCTGAGAAGGTTTTGGTTCTCCGTTTTGGAAGAGATAATGATGCTGTTTGTCTGCAGCTCGATGATATTGTAAGACCTTTTTTTTTCTTTTTTTCTTTTTTTTTTTTTTTAACGGACTGTACAAGTATATTTGGCGCATAGAAGAGAATGTTTTTGCTACGATAGGCACTCATGGAAAGTTTGGTGACTAATATAGAATGAAATTACACGATATTTATAAAAAGGTTTGAAAAGTAAGCATCTGTGTTACTACTGTAGTGGCTGAACAAAGTGCTTGAGGTAGACAAGATGTGATATTCTATACCTGCTTAAGCTGGTAACACATAAGAGAAACAAGCTTTATAAAGCTTGCCGCCCTCTTGTTCTCGTTTCTCAGTCTATTTGTCATCTGCCTTTCTCACTCTTTGCAGCTTGCAAAAACAGCTCATGACCTAAGTAAAATGGCAGTCATTTACTTGGTGGATGTGAACAACGTCCCAGTGTACACCCAGTACTTTGACATCAGTTATATTCCATCTACTGTATTTTTCTTCAATGGACAGCACATGAAGGTTGATTATGGGTAAGTCATCCCACCATTGTCTATTATGTCTGTAAGAATTATCAGTTTTTTACTATGTTATCATGTCTGGGGAAGGTAACATTTGAAAACTATAATGTTGTTACCAGCATCTGCTTTGAGAATTCTGTAGGAAGCCAGAAGGATGTAAATAGGGAAGTAATTTGGAATATGCCCTGATGCAATAAGTAGGTGAAATATATCTGACTATGCAAAAAATAGTAAGAAATTATTAAAATTTCAGACATAACACTGCACCTGTTTGACCTTTGGAGGTCACAGCATATTCCTGACTTGGCTATGCCATTACAAAGTTCATTCTTTTGGAATGACCAGATCAGAACTCTTTATCTCATTTGGGCATATTTTCACATTTTTAGGTGGTTTTTCTCTGAATACTTTAATGTTACAATTCTACCTTTATCTTATGCTTATATTTAGGTCTCCAGATCACACCAAATTTGTGGGAAGCTTCAAAACAAAGCAAGACTTTATAGATCTGATTGAAGTGATCTACCGTGGAGCAATGCGGGGAAAGCTCATTGTGAGAAGTCCTATTGATCCCAATAACATTCCTAAATACGACCTTCTCTACCAAGGAATTTAATGGGTTAATCTGAGAAAATAATTACACAAATGGACAATGTTGTAGATCATTTTTTCCTTTGAGCATTTTTTGCTTCCTCTGACACTGTGGGACAGTTTGAGCATTTATCCTGAAGGATCATATTGGTCTCCTTCTGAAGACAGATATTCTGTCACCTCATGCTTCTCTCATAAATAAAGCTATGTGTTCATGCACAGAGTTCTTTGAGTTGTGTGCTGACCAGCCCTTAGAAAACAGGCAGGCTGTGTGCATCCTCACCTGTGGCATCTCCAGTGCAACCTTCTTCAGGGAACTGAGGCACGCTGGTAGTTGCCTGTTTAGTACCATTTTCATTCAGATGTAATAACAGCAAAAGTGACATTAATAAAAAAAGCTGTGCTTGCTCTCAAGAACGTTCAATTGAATGTGCCTTTCCTATGAAGAATGTTACATTTTACCCATTGCTGCATAACAGGACAGAAGTTTCTTCTGAGAGATGATGACTGAAATCTGAAATGGAAATAAACACAAAGGCAAGTTGATGCTCTCTTCTCTCTGATACCCATTATTACTGTTCAGCAGCTTTTTTGACTGAGATTGGAATGTTCTACACTTGTAGGAGAAGGTTTTGTCATCTTTCAAAGGACCCTTTTTTGTGGCCATTGAACACTTTTGATTCCCATGGGTTTGAACTGGAAATTAAGAATAATTCTTTTGTTTATATTCACTTTAAAGATTATTGGAACTTCTGCTTGTACACATTGCAAGCCTTGAGTATGTAAATTTAAAAACTGTATTTCCTACCTCTGTCTAAAGTTAAACAGCTGAGAGGAAGGAGCAGTGTCATTCCTTTGCATCAGTTTGGTCACTGCAGGTTGCCTGACTAGTGTATCTCTATAGCAGCTCATGGCCAGAGTTGGCTTTAAAATGGAAATAATTCTCACTGGCTGAGTTGGCTTTAAAATGGAAATGATTTTACCTCCATGTGTCATGTTTGGGGCACACCAGCTCCAACTGGAGGGAAGGCAGTAGTGTGTGCTTCCCTGAAGCATTGTTCAGCTTAACAGTAAATGTTTCAAGGAGGAAGGTGGATGTTCCAGCTCTTGAAAGATTTTAAACAATATGTGGTACATAGAAGGAAACAGATTGTTTATAGATTCTTTTGCTATTCCAGATTTGGCCTTCTAATGAAGCTAAGCACTTAAGCAAATGTTTTCCTGATAGTTTAGTCTGATTATAGAGCCAAAACTACAGAATATTTATTATAGAAAATGATAGATGAGAGTTGGTATACCTTAACATCTTTAATTCAATTTTAAATTTCACAGCTAGCCAAAGGGTTGTGGCTTAAGGCTTTCAACAATGCATATCTTTCCTAATAGTTAACTTTTGTGTTTTTCTTCTCTGACAGAACTCAGTACATCCCTCCGGGTGTCCAGAGTTGCTGAGGATCCCACTGGGGGGCTTGGAGACCTTGGCATGCTGCCCAGAACACCTGGGGATTTGATTTTGACCCTTGGAGCAAGTTGCCAACTTTGTATGAGGATGTGAAAGTCAAAGAGGTTTGAACAGTGTAATAACAAAATGATCACAGGGCGAAAATGCAGATTTTAGGATTTTTGGTAGGGGGGTTATGGGGACAAGATGGAGGAATCAGGGCGTGTCTAGCCTTCCTTCTTCTTCTTGTTCTCCATTTTCTGCTGGGATGTTGGCACTTTGGGATTGGTTTAGAGTAGAAGTGCACTGTCCAACATAGGTGATAGGTATTGGGAATTAAGTGAAAATAGGAAATACGTAGTTTGTAGTATAAAAGGACAGCACCGCCTTGGGGGCGGTCAGAGTGCTCGTGGCTGCCCTGCAGAGCGGATCTCCGCTGGGCAGAAAGAAAATTTTATAGATAAGAATTAATAAACAACCTCAAGACCGAAAAGTGAAGAGTCCAGAGTCATTCTTCAGTTGTGCAGAGACATCCTACGCATCTTGGGGCAGCAATTACCAACAGCAACCCAAGATTTGGCATCCCTGGCTGGGCACGTTCCAAGGGGGCACTGATAAACCTCTTGGGAAGCAGCCAGAACAGCCTGGGAAGCAGCAGCCACTCTCAAGGCCATCCAGAGAGCTGCTGCCGAAGGGACTCGTAGCAGAACAGTCCGGAGCGGAGCCAGAAGGTGCCCTGGATCCTCTCTCCTGTGAACTGCTGGCGTTTCCAGCTGGACCTTCAGACTGACCTGACGACTCGGATTTGGTAAGAAGGTCAAAATTAAGAACATGGGGGGACATGCTCCCAGGAACAGTTAAGGATTTTGTCAGCCTTACAAGGCATGGCAGAGGCACACCCGATGGAAATTTCAAAGAAAGAACTTAGAGATCTTTTGCTATGGGTATGCTGTAATTATCTGTACCAACTGCACGGGTGATGCTGGAAGCAACCTCAGCAAGATGTGGGCAGGTTGCCAAACAGCAGGTTGCTGAAACTCCCACAGGGGCAGAGGGCGGGGAGCAGAGGCAGAAGCGGGGGGCGGCTCTTGTTCCAATTGTCCCAGGGAAACTGAAATAGCTCCCACAGAAGGGGAGCAGGAGGGAACTTCTTCACCTCCGATTCCCTCATCACCCCGAAAGCCCACGGGACCTCCAAAACGCTCAGAATCCCCAGATACTTCAGGGTTTTCGGGCTCAGACTCAGACACCCTCTCATTCCCGGGACAGCTCAGGGCTGAAGTTTCCCCAAGCGAAATCGAGGAATCGGGACTGTGCCATTATCGGGGCACGTCCTCCCGATTCGCAGGAGCCAAAGGGATACAGGAGAGGGAGAACAGCAGAGTCGGGACGGGGGGCCGAAGTGGGACCAGAGGGGGCAAAGCTCTCTAGCGGCGGGCGCGGTCCCGCGGGCGGCGGCCTCAGGCGGCGGCGGGGGCAGTGGCGAGGGCGGAAGGACCCGGTGGGAGACTCGGGAGCTGACGCGGTTTGCGCGGGGGCGGTGCCGGCGGCAGCTTCGACCGGCGCGGTGCAAAAAACGCGAGCGAGGGGCAGAAATCGCGAGGCAAATGTGGCGCAGCCACCCGGGGACAGCGTCCGGGACGAGCCCGGCGGGGCAGCTGCACAGTCCCAGCCGGCACCCGTAGGCAGGCGCGCGGTGATGACGCCGTACCCGGATTCGGGACGCGGAGATCTGCCCGAATCGCAGCGCGGGCAGGAGCCGAGCGGGAATTGCGCGCGCCGGCGGGGGTGCGGATACAGTGCAGGGGGAAGAGGAGGGGATTCAGGAACGGATCAAACCGGGGGGGAAACATCGGAGGCGGAACGGGAAGGAGAGAGTGACGTCAGTCTAGGGAGGCAGGAGGCGTGCCCGAGATCGCGCGTGCGTAGAAGCCGCGGGCGGAGCGCAGTTGGAGGCGGGTCCGCTCCCCTGTGATGGCACGGGCAGGGAAGGGGCGTGCTCGGGGCTCGGTCACATCCCGGGGCTCCGCCCCCTCTCCGGTTCCCGTCCCTGCAGTCCCAGTCCCTTCGATCCCGACCTCTCCAGTCCCAGGGAGACACACACGTGTCCAATCTCAACTGCTGGCTCAGTCAAAAATCGCACAGTCTCGGTCTCACTTAAAATCGCGAACGCTGCAGTCAGCCTAACCGGAGCCGATCGCGGCCGCGCCGCCATCGCGGTCAGCCAGGCGGGCGACAGCGCCCCCTTGTGGTGGGGCCACTACATTGCAGGACATGCCAGACCTGCCCGACCGAGCCACAGCGTCATCTGGTGGCGGGACTGCAACATTGCAACACTTTTTTCCAACTACGTAGAAAAGGAAATCTAAATCAAAGACAAGTACAACACAGCAAGTAGAGTATTCATCAGCTTCTGAATCTCATGAAGCTCAAGACATTTCTGATGAGGCACAACAACAGGATGATACAATAGGCATTGCTGCCTCAGAGGGTGTTCCAGCAGGGATGTTTTCAGCAGCAGCAGCAGCAGCCAGTTCTTCAGGCAGGAAGCCAACAATCGCTGTACTGAGGAGTGCAGCCAAATACCTTCTATGATATTTAAGCATGGCCACAGGAACGCAAGTACGAGAATTTCAGATTCCTGTTCTGGATTTAGGAGCAAGGCCGAAGACCTCAACAAAACGAGGAATGCGGATTCCAGAGACACCAATGACTTCTACAACTCCATTGAACATGCAGATACCCATGGAGCTGCAGGTTCCAGAAGAAGAGGAAGTTGAAACAACGGATTGGACAGATATTAGAAAAGAACTAGGGAAAGAAAAAAGACTTATTGCAAGGTTCAGGAGACATCACAATGGCAGTGACATACGATGCACAGGGTCAGAATCCAAGGTGGGATAGACTGGATTGTGAGGTGATTAAAGAATTAGCTAAAGCCATCAGAGACAATGGACTGAATTCACAATATTTTAAGCAGCTTCTGAAGGGAACTTTCAACATGTATGACTTTACACCTTACGACATCAGATGCCTTGTGTCAATGATTCTCACCGACACGCAGAATCTTGTGTGGAACACAAGATGGAGAAGATCTCTCACAGAGCTGAGGCTCAGATACCAAGGTGGACCAAACGCAAAGCTCACAGTGGCACAATTAGCAGGTGATCCTCCAGATGACAATCCAACACAACAAGCAGCGAGGCTTCCAAGACAAGTGCTGAGTGACATCAAGGAAGCAGCACGAAGAGCAATCCTGCAGATTGCTCCAGCAGGACACAAGATATCCCATTCACAAATGTCAGACAAGGTCCCATTGAACCTTTTTCCTCATTCACAGATCAACTCACACAAGCTGTGGATCGACAAGTGACTGATGACATGGTGAAACCACATTTCATCGAAAGTCTTGCCTATGCCAATGCCAATCTGGATTGCCAACAGGTCATCAGTGCGATGCCCAGTCAACCTTCTTTGGCAGAGTTGGTGGAGGCATGCAGCAAAGTGGGAACACCTCAGTACGTTGCATCCATTGTGAAACAGGAATTGTGAGGAGAGTTGGAAGAACAACTGGGAGGACGGTTGGGAGAAAAAATGGAAAGAGTGCTTCAATTGCAGAATGAGAAGATCGACAAGATGGACAAAGTTCTAGAAGCGTTGAAAAGAAGAGTAACTCATCGGGAGGACAATGCTAGAGGTGAGGAGCATTTGGACACATGAAGAAGAACTGCCCACAAGCACAAATGCAAGTGCCAAAGACAGAAAGGCCACTCTGTCCAAGATGCAGAAGAGGAAGACGTCTTGCGAATTAATGTTATTCTCAGACGGATGTGGATGGACAACCTCTACCGTGTCCGGGAAACACCAAAAAGAGCGTGCAACATCGTCAGCATGTGTCGACACAAGTGATGGCGATGACACAAGAGCAGGCAGGACAGTCATCGAAGAATGTCGGACAGATTCCCTCAGCAAAGTCCTCAGCAGACTCCCCAGTGACCCAGAACTCCTCCCACCTGGAGCGCAGTGCACATTGGCAGCTTCCAAGTTAACGTGCTTCTTGTATGGAAGTCACGCAGTGATACCAACAGGTGTCAACGGGACTTCATCCAAGAGACAAGATTTCTTGATAACTGGTAAAGACAGAAGCAGTACCCTTGGACTTGTCATTTATCCTTCAATCATTTCAGCAAATCGAAACGAAGAGTTGACGGTTTTAGCCAAGGCTCTTCAACCACCATTGATTGTGGCAGAAAACATCCCGGTAGCAAAAGCTATTGCTTTGCCACCACATGCCACAGAGCAGGTCATGCCGGTGTTTGACGAAGAAGGGTTTCCTTCAAAGGAACACATGGAAGTACATACCACATGGGTGAAACATATAGGCCGAGATCGACCCACTCTCACTTGTCAGTTGACCTGTGGATAAAGAACAATCGTCATCAGAGGAATGCTTGACACAGGGGCAGATGTCACAGTTATATCCTACGTCTTTTAGCCTCAAGAATGGAGTTTGATTGCGCCCTTGGGTTCCCTCACAGGCATAGGGGGAAGTTCTATGTGTCAGCAGAGTGAAAATTCCATTGTTGTCACAGGACCAGGAAACAAGACGGCGATCATTCGTCCCTTTGTTGTGCAGAAGCCCATCACAGTATGGAGACGAGATCTTTTGGCACAATGGGGCATGAAGTTGGAGGTGGATTTTTAGTGAGGTCACTGTGGCACTTGCCACATTGAAGTTAACCTGGAAGACAGATGATCCAGTTTGGGTGGATCAGTGGCCCCTTAAGCAAAAAAAGTTGAGTGCACTGAAAAACCTGGTCCAAGAACAACTGCAAAAGGGACACATCAAACCAGCAAATAGTCCATGGAACTCTCCAGGGTTCGTCATCAAGAAGAAACTATCAGGCAAATGGAGGCTGTTGCACGACCTCAGGAAGACCAACAAAGTCCTCGAAGACATGGGACCATTTCAATTGGGGCTTCCATCTGTCTCGATTCCCAGAGATTGGCTGCTTGTGGTCATTGACCTCAAGGACTGTTTCTTCAGCATTCCACTTCATCCAGATGATGCTCCAAGATTTGCCTTCTCAGTTCCAAGTATCAACAAGGAAACACCTCTGCAGCGGTACCATTGGGTGGTCCTTGTTGTTGTTCAAACAACCTCTCAATCTGATCACAGATGTCTTGCGGGTATGGTCAGATGATTGGAAGGTTCACTTTTGAAAGAGAGCAGCAATGAAGTTTTATATTCATACTTGTCAGGCATGAAAATATTGCTAGAAAACAGAGAACATAAATACTTCATCACTCACATCAGAGCACATACATTGCTTCCAGGGTTTCTAGCAGGAGGGAATGCTCAGGCAGACAGGTTGACAATGCCCATTTCACAAACCCTACTGGATATTTTTGAGCAGGCAAGATTAAGCCATGCATTTTTTCATCAGAATGCGCAGGCACTGATGGAATCCTTTCACCTTTCAAAGAGCCAGGTGAGGGAAATCATTAGTGCTTGTCCAGATTGTCAGCTTGTGCAGCCACCTGCTTCCACAGGAGCAGTCAATCCACGAGGACTGCAAAGTCTTCAACTGTGGCAAGCTGAAGTCACAAAATATCCATCATTTGGGAGGCTCAGAAATGTTCATGTTTCAGTGGACACATTTTCAGGAGCAGTCTTTGCATCAGCACATACAGGAGAAACAGCAGAACATGCCTGTTGACATTTCTTGCAAGCATTTGCATCATTAGGTGGACCTCAAGAAATAAAAACAGACAATGGCCCAACATACACAGGGAGGGTGCTTGACAAATTTCTGAAAAAGTGGGCTATCAGACACATATTTGGTATTCCATATTCCTCCACGGGTCTAGCAATCATTGAAAAAACATATCATACCCTGATATCCCTTTTGGATAGACAAAAAAGGGGGGAGCCATGAGGTTGAACAAGGCATTGTATGTGTTGAATTTTCTCAACAGCTCGTCTTCCAGAGCCCAATCCACCGATTTTAAGACACTTTTCGAACAGCTCTCAGGCAAAACTAAAGGAGAATCCTTTAGTTTTGATCAGAAACCCAGAGACAGGACAAATAGAAGGTCCCTTCAAATTAATTACATGAGGCAAGGGTTTAGCTTGTGTTTCCACAGGGCGAGGTCTGAAGTGGGTGTCGGCACGGCACGTGAAGCCATTTCGGACTCGAGAGCAAGAAGACACTTATCCCGGAAACAGAGAAGTGAGCACGCAGACG